CACAATATCTTGTGATGGATCTCCTGTCTATTGGATAGCCAGCCTAATCTGCATCACAATACCCTAAGACTTGAGTGTTTCCCTTGTCCTCATACAACAATCCTTGTCCTGGAGCACTTTTAATATATCTCAAAATGCGAATCACAGCATTCCAATGGTCAATGTGAGGATTTTGCATGAATTGACTAACAACTCCAACTGCAAATGAAATATCAGGTCTTGTAATAATGAGATAAATGAGTTTTCCTTACTAGCCTCTTGTATCTCTCTGGATCTAGAAAAATTTCACCTTGGTCCATCATTAGATTTTGATTTGGATCCATAGGACTATCAATTGGCCTACAATTTTCCAAACATGTTTCCTTTAAAATATCAAGAGCATATTTCCTTTGTGAAATTACAACACCTTCCTTTGATTGAGCCACTTCAATGCCAAGAAAGTATTTCAAACTACCAAGGTCTTTAGTCTGAAAATGACTGAATAAGTGATCTTTTAGTTGAGAAATTCTAGTAGCATCATTCCCTGTAATCACAATATCATCAACATAGACCATTAAATAAACACACTTCCCAGCAAAATGACAATAAAACACTGAATGATCTGCCTCACTCTGCTCTAATCCAAAGATCTTCACAATGTGATTGAATTTACCAAACCAAGCTCGGGGTGATTGTTTTAAGCCATACAAAGACCGATGCAATTTACAAACTAAATCAGACTCCCCCTAAGCAACAAATCCGGGAGGTTGCTCCATATAGATCTCCTCCTCAAGATCACCATGGAGGAAGGCATTTTTAATGTCAAGCTGCTGAAGTGGCCAATGACGAATAGCGGCCATAGCAAGGAAGAGTCTAACTGTAGTGATCTTTTCCACGGGAGAGAAGGTATCACAATAATCAAGACCATAAATTTGGGTGTATCCCTTGGCTACCAACCGAGCTTTAAGGCGATCAACTTCACCATTAGGGCCAACTTTAACAGCATAGACCCATCTACAACCGACAGGCTTCTTCCCAAGAGGTACGGGGACAAGCTCCCATGTGCCATTATGTGCAAGAGCATGCATTTTGTCAATCATGGCTTGTCGCCATACTGGGTGATCAAGTGCCTCATTGATAGTTTTAGGAACAGTGGTGGATGACAACGAGAAAACAAAAGAAGAGTATGAAGGAGACAAGCAGTGATAACTCAAAAAATTATAAATAGGATGAGGATTACGGGTAGACCGACTACCTTTTCTAATAGCAATGGGCCAATCTAAATTGGAGTCATGGGATGGCATGGAGGATGAAGGACTCGTAGTATGGCAAATTATTGGAGAAGGATCAGAATCACGAGGGGCTTCAGCTAGATCATAAGTATGAGATTGGGATTGATTCTCATCTTGGTTGGTGTTAGAAGGAATCATAATCGGATCAGAGAATGGGACAGGAAGAACTTGTTGAACGGAAACAGGGTTATCTATGGAGGGTGAGAAAAATGGTGTGTCCTCAAAGAAGGTAACATCAACAGACATATAATACTTTTTGGTAGTTGGAGAATAACATTTGTATCCTTTCTGAAGACGAGAATATCCTAGAAAAACACATTTGATAGCTTTTGCAGAAAGTTTGTCCAAACCTAGAGAGACATTATGAACAAAGCAAGTACAACCAAACACCCAAGGAGAGACATGAAATAGAGGATCATTCTGAAAAATGATAGAGTGAGGAATTTGATTATCAAGAGAAGAAGATGGCATCCTATTTATTAAAAAACAAGTAGTGAGAACTGCATCTCCCCAATGATGTACGGGAACATTCATGTTCAACATTAGGGAGCGTGCAGTTTCAATAAGATGTCTATTCTTCCTCTCTGCTATGCCATTTTGTTGTGGTGTGTGAGGACATGTAGATTGATGCAAAACACCCTGTGAGGATAAAAAGGAAGAAAGTTCAGCAGAAAAATATTCTTTAGCATTGTCACTTCTAAAGATTTTAATTACTTTGCCAAATTGGTTTCTAATCTCCTTAAAGAAAGATATGAATATAGACAAAAGTTCAAATCGTTCTTTCATTAAATAAACCCAAGTACATCGAGAGAATTCATCAATGAAGGTTACAAAATATCTTAAACCAAAAGATATGACACGACTTGGTCCCCAAATGTCTGAATGAATGATAGAAAAAGCCAAGTTACATCTTTGTTCAGTCCTTTTAGGAAATGATGATCTAACATGTTTTCCTAATTGACATAATTCACATTTCAAGGTTGGAAGTGATTTGAGGCTAGGAACCATTTTCCTCAATTTTGCTAAACTTGGGTGACCCAAACGATCATGCAAAAGCTTTGGTGTTGAGACTGCAAAACAGGATACAGGTGGGTTGGTTTTTAGGTAATAGAGACCTCGTGATTCATGTCCTTCGCCAATCAGACGACCCGTACCACGTTCCTTTATGACAAAGGAATTAGCATCAAATGTTACTGAACAATTTAATGAACGAGTCAATTGGCTTAGAGAAATTAAGTTATAAGGACAATGAGGGATGAACAAAACAGAATTTCATTTCAGAGAAGAAGACAAAGGAACTTGACCAATTCCTTGAGATTCAACTTTGGACCCATTTGCTACAGTAACAAGATGAGGAACTTTTGGAGAAGAAAGGAGTGAAAATAAGGAACTGTTACCAGAAATATGATCACAAGCACCTAAGTCAAGTATCCATGGACCATGACTTTCCACAGATTGAGAAATACATGTTGAAACACTTGGCATAGATGAAGATTGGGGTTGGTTGTTAGATCTTTCTGACTTGAGCCTTGTATAATCTTGGTACTCTTCATCAGAGAACTTGGAACATGATATTTCAGATTTTGATGCATGGGCTGTCTTGTCTGGAAAACCATGCAGAGAATAGCAATTTTCTTGTGTATGACCCATTCTTTTGCAGTATGTACACTGAGGACGTCCACTTCTGCCACTACGTCCTCCTCGGCTACTACATCCTCCTTTTCCACAAGGTACTACCATTGCTAAGGTTTCGGTAGTTTCAGCTATGTTCTCATCCTTCACCAAGTTAGGAACATGGAGAAGTCTAGTAACTAAGCTGTCCATGTAAGGGATTTGATCAATAGCCAAAATTTGATCACGTACATGATCAAAATCCGAATGTAAGCTCCTCTATACAACTTATCAAGTTTTTTGTTGACACCCTCCAACGAGTCGGCCACAAGAAATCTTTTTAGTTCCTCTATTGCAACCCGGGCCTTTGCTACATGTGAAATCATATCATGGATGGTTTGTTTGAAAGAAGCTACTCTCTGGGTTGCATCAAAAAGATGTTGAATATCATTAGCAAAAATATCTTGGGCTTCCTTCCGGAATGAATGACATGTCTTAAATGACCTGAGTATCTCTAACACCTCAGGTTCAACAAATTTCCATAGGATAGCACATAATTGGAAGTCAAGTTTCTACCATTGAGATTTATGTTCACTAGGAATATCACCAACTTCTTTCTCCAAGTGGTCATGATATCCTTGACCAAGAAACCATAACTCTACCGAGGCGGACCAAGACAAATAATTTTTCCAGTTCAACTTTGCAGTGATAATTGTGGGAGTACCAGCAAAGGGAAAAACAGAACATGTGGATGTCATTTTCCTGACCAAGATGAAGAGGAAGAAGATGAACAGTAGTCACACTCCAAACAGCCACCCAGATCTGTGAAATGAGGGTTGGAACGGACTCAGAAGGAATGGACGAACACAACGGTGACAGCATGGCAAAGCTCTGACAAGCAAAAGGCGGCGCATGAATCACACGCGCGTGACTGGGCAAAGGATTGGATCTGAACGTGAGAGCGCGTGAGGCCTCCTCTATCCCCGAAACCACCAGGGTTGGGTCACGCTCAACGAGGTGCACCAAACCTTAAGGTCACCAGAAAATTTGGTCGCCAGCAGACGGCGGCGGCGGATATAGCAGAGCGGGATCGGACCCGCTCTGATACCAAGTTAGATTTCAAATCTTGGCAAAAACTAAGCCACACTCAGCTGGCATATTATATATATATATAGGAACAAAAAATACATAAATCTGAACCTAGGTCAGTCTATGAAGCTACACCCCTTTTTGACAGATAGGGCCAAAAATCAGCTTTTCTAAAAAGCTGAACAACCTATACAAAACAATTGTTTTAACAATGCTCACACTTGGGATGATTCTTCAAATAGGGCGCTTTGCCCCGAGAACAGCCAAGATCACTACTATATGAGGCAAGCACAGAAGTATCACCCAATGGAGGAGTATAAACCTCAGTATTTACTTTCAGAGGAACCCAAATAAGGGCAAAAGAAGCCAAAATATATTAGGAATCATGGTTGACCCAAGAATTTGGTCCCAATTAGCAGAATATTCCAGAGGCAAACCATAAAGGGTAAGAACCATGAAGAAAGCACTACAATTCTCAAGTTATTTCTTGGCCTCAATTGGGTTAGAGGCGGCAGGTGGAAATGTTCATTATAATCATGCAGAGCCGCATGAACTCTCCACATAAGAGTCCTTAAATAAGCAGCCAATGGGCCTTCAAATCGCTGAGGAGCAACAAGAGTCCTTAAATCGTGACACACTCCATATAAACACCGAGTGTCATCAGTATAAAGGAAACGCGCCTCTGTCCAAACCAATCCACAAGTGATGTGAGGTCGGAAATGTGGTTTGATAGAGCATGGAGGGTGGACTTGATCACACCGCATAGTTGAGCATCAATTTTCTCCTACTTGGCACAATCAACCACTCCCACTGACCCAATGGGGGTACTACTAAGGTGGTCACAATACACTAGGTACCAATCCAAAGGGTAATATCAGAAGCCAAAGTAGGGTAGTTTGAACCATCCAACTTCTCAGTCAATCATGGGAAGTTTAAAAAAAATAGGAGCGTCTTTCATCTTTCAATAAATTAAAAAAAAAAATAGAGAGAAACCAGAAAAGAAGAACCTATGAAGCAAAGGAAGGTTACCGTAAATAAAAGTGATGAGATTAAGCAAAATGATGCTTCTCACTTTCCTCGAAGGGAACAGAATCCCCCGAGACAGGTACCGCTTTCGGAACACGGAATTGGATTTCCGGGTCAAACGGGTCGGGTCGGTGGGATCCGGATTGGCGTCTGGGAGAACGGAACCGGAACAGGATGTGAGTGGCGAAGAAGAAGAGTGGCTGCGCAAAGAGCATGAGGCGAAACGACGGCGTTTGGCGCGGGATGGGTAGAGAAACGCGGAATTGCGCGGAGAAGGGGTTGTAGAAGGGTGGAGGTTGATGGGTAGGGTCCTACAGTGGGAGTGCGAAGCCATGGGTGGGTTGAAAGATGAGTGAGGATTTCTCTAAAACAAAAATCTCTTCGCCTTGTAGATTGTCGCCCATCAACACTTTCTCTTTTCTCATCCTAATTCAAACTTCAGAAATTAGAAAAATAATAAAATAATCCCTTGTTTTTGGTGGATTCTTATTTTTAGTCTTTAAATTTTTTTTATTTTTCTTTTTTCTTTTTCTCTTTTAATCTTTAGGCTTCCCAAGCTCAAGGAAAAAATGTCATCTTAGTGGTGGTTGATAGATTGACCAAATATACTCATTTCCTTGCATTTAGTCATCTTTTTATTACAAAAGAGGTTGTCGAAGTTTTTATCACAGAGGTAGTTAAATTGCACGGGTTCTCCTCTTTTATTTAATCGGATCGTGACAAAATATTCCTAAGTCACTTCTGGTCAGAATTGTTCAAATTAGTCGGCAATCGACTTAAGTTTAGCATCGCATACCATCCCCAAACAGATGGCCAAACTGAGGTGGTCAACTGGTGCTTAGAGACTTATCTGAGGTGCCTCACTAGAAGTAAGCCTAAGTAGTGGCCTAAGTGGTTGAGTTGGGTTGAGTTCTGGTTTAACACCAACTACAACAGCTCTCTAAAATTGACTCCTTTCAAAGCATTGTATGGTCGTGATCCACCCCATCTTCCGAAAGGAACCACTATTCCGTCAATTGTGGAAGAGGTGAACATGATGACTTATGACTGGGATCAAATGTTACATGATCTCAAGGAAAATTTGGTCACAGCCCAGAATCAAATGAAGAAGTATGCTGACCAATCTCGACGCACAGTATCCTTAGCTATTGGTGATTGGGTGTATCTCAAGCTCAAGCTGTATAGGCTACGGTCATTGGCTCGAAAGAGAAATGAGAAGCTAAGTCCACGTTTTTATGGTCTTTATCAGATCACAAAACAGATTGGAGCAGTTGCTTTTCAGTTAGCCCTACCACCAGAGAGTTGTTAGAAAAGAATGACTCAATCCAAGAGGGGGGTAGAGTTCTAAGGATCTTTATTTCAACTTAAACTTTTCTAATATGAATTCTCAAAGAAGTTCCTTGAAAGACTTGCTAATGGGAATGAGTCTTATATGCTTTCTTGATTAATCTTTGATAAAGTTCAAAGTTAAGAACACTTAATATGCAACACTTTGATTCAGTTTAAAACAATGTTACACATGCAAACATATTAATCAAGATTATTCACTTTAACACTCAACCAAGATTTTGCTCAAAGTAAAAGATAAGGATGAGAGAAGAATGCACAAGTCTTTTATCCTGGTTCAACCACTCCACATGTGACCTACATCCAGTCCTCAATCATAACCTGATCAAGATTTGTTCCACTATCTCAATGAAGAATTTTTACAAGCATACAACACATGCATATACTTCTACATTCAAGATAACCACTTTCTTGACCCCAAGAAAACACTTCTTGTAGAAACCCACTACAAGAATTCCTTACCACTTGAGACACCAACTCAAGATTTCCCTTACAATTTTTCACAAAGAATTAAAGTAACGAATTCACCTAGAAGCTGAACAAATCAGACTGTGAATTCCAAAAGCAAATCTCAATCTTTATTTCCCAAGAATGTGATGATGATGATGATGATCTCTTTCAAAGCATTTCAAAAATGTTTTACTTCTTGCTTTCACAAAGAAAACACTCCAAGAAGGTCACAAAGACTTCACAATAACGTTTTTTCTCTTTTTGATTGTTAACTCATTCTCTGTTCTCTCTAGTTCTGAAGTTTCAAAGTGTGAAAACTATTTATAAAATTTTCAGAACCAGATAATCGATTATTTTAAAGGATAATCGATTATTTTGTTTTTCATGATTTTTGGAAATCACTCAAGAACAGAATAATCGATTATTTTGCAGGATAATCGATTATTCCAGAGAGTGCTTCCTGGAATAATCGATTATTTCACAAATAATCGATTATTACAGCAAGGCTTCCTTTCACCTGTTGTTAGAATAATCGATTACATTTAATGATAATCGATTATTTTGAGTTAGTTTTCAAAAACTCAGTTTTACATCTCAAAAAATCTTTCCAAGTATTTAAATCATCATTATACTCACTCTCAGTCAATTTAGATTAAGATTAACTCATGCACAAAGCACACACATGCAAAATAACCTAATCAAACCAATACAACTCATAAGACCTTATACACTATTCCTATTACACATCATAATAGCCATATCTTCTTCTTGACTTGTTTTTGACTTGTTGATGTCCTTGGTCAGCTTTGATTCTTAGAATCCACCTTTTGTTATCATCAAAACTTTCATACTCCAAGTTTGAGTTGATTCACTACTCTATGAATCTCAACAAGTAAAATCCACCCTGTGTTCCATGTTTCTTTACTCAAGAAGGCTCTCTATCCCTTAGCAACTCCTCAACCTTTACCACCTATGTTGTCGGAAGAGTTAGAATTGCAGGTAACCCCAGCTGTTGTGAAAGAAGTGCATAACATTGCTCGCGGGACTATCGAAGTGCTTATTTAGTGGACTAACCTGCCAGAATTTGAAGCCACTTGGGAATCAATGGAAACCATCATGAAGCAATTTCCTTCTTTTCACCTTGAGGACAAGGTGACTCTTTTGGGAGGGAGTATTGTTAGGCCTCTTATAAGTAAATATTATAAGAGGAGTTGCAAGACTTAGGTTTTATAATAGGACTGAATTGTTTTAGCGGTTATTAATTATTTTAGCAATTATTGTTGTAATTGTTTTAGCAGTTATTAATTATTTTAGCAGTTATTGTTGTTTTAATTAGAACTAGGTGCTATTAGTGGGGGGCAAGCGTAATTACCTCTAGGCAGTTATTAGCAGAATAAAAATAGCAAAAGAAGCAGGACAGAGGTTAGGCAGATTTTGAGTGGTTTTGGAAGGGAGAAACCAAGCTCTCGAACATCTTGTGAGGGAACTTTGTACTCAAATCAGTTTACTAAATTTCCTATATAATTTTTATTTTGTACCAATTAAATTAAATAAAATTCAGTCCTTATTCTCATACCAGTTGGTGTCTATCACGAACCTGTGTAAAATCTTTTGAATATAATCTTTTTGACAGAGAAAAAGTTTCTTCTGAGATCTGTCTTTGTAGATTTCCATTCCTAAGATCTTTTTGGCAGCACCTAAATTCTTCATGTCAAATTCTCCACTCAAAAGAGCCTTCAGATTCTGAATTTCATATTTGTTCTTGGCAGTTATGAGTATATCATCTACATACAGTAGAAGATAAATCATGGAGCCATCCTCTGCCTTCTTGTGGTAAACACAACAGTCATAGGGACTTTTGTTGAACCCTTTGCTGATCATGAAAGTGTCAAATCTCTTGTACCATTGCCTAGGTGATTGTTTCAGTCCATAGAGAGACTTTTGTAGTTGACACTCATAGTCTTCTTTCCCTAATTTCACAAAGCCTTCCGGTTGCTTCATTAAGATATCCTCTTCTAGTCTTCCATGTAAAAAGGCTGTCTTTACATCCAAATGTTCACGTTCTAAATCTTGACAGGCTACAAGGGCCAGAAGAACCCTTATAGAAGTGTGCCTCACAACGGGTGAGAAGATTTCATTAAAATCCACTCCTTCCTTCTAACTAAACCCCTTTGCCACTAACCGTGCTTTGTATCTTAAGGGTTCAACTCCAGGGGTTCCTGGTTTTCTTTTGAAGATCCATTTGCATCCTACTACATGTCTTCCTTTTGGCAATTTTGCTAATTTCCAGGTTTGGTTTTTCTGAAGTGATTCCATTTCTTCCTTCATAGCAAGGATCCATTTATCTGCTTCAGTATTATCCATGGCTTCCTTATATGTGGCTGGTTCAGATGTATCAACTTCTTCTGCTACATGCAATGCATACGTTAGCATGTCTTCAAAACCATACCTGGCAGGAGGCTTAGATATTCTTTTAGGCTTTTGATAGGCTTGTAGACACCTAATTTCGTCTGGGGGGCATACAAACAAGATAGGACATCAGAGGGCCCAAAAACCCAAATTAACTTTTTTAGTGGCCCGGAACGTGCCGTTCCAAAATCGGAACGGGCCGTTCCCAAGTCTGGAACGGGCTGTTCTCGAATTGGAACGGGTTAAAAATTGTTAGCTAGAACGGGCCGTTCCAAACCAAACAAATGGCCTAAAATCTGTACCCCGGAACGGACCGTTCTTAAATCAGAACGGGTCGTTCTAGGGTACAGATATACAGCATAACGTTCAGATCCGGAACGGGCCGTTCCGAATCCAGAACGGGTCGTTTCGGCCCACATCTGATGCCTATAAATAGAAAATCTCGAGCACAGTTCAAGGGACCCCAAAAATTTCGTCCAAGACTCCTTAGAGCTCGAAATTTCTCTCTTTTTTTCTCTCTCTCTTTTTTGTATTTCTTGAGATTTTGTGAGGGCATTGTAGTGTGAAAGGTTTCCACGAAGCACCTAAAATCTTCCTATTTTGAAGATTCAATAGAG